GAAAACCTTGCTCATTCACACCAGTGTGTTAACATGGGGTATAAATATGGCAGCCGCTGAATAATGTCATAGTGTGGCTGACTGGCAGGTAGGCAATGTTTCAATTGAACATGTATTTCTGTTTCAATTGAAAAATAATAGTTGACAATTCTGGGTCATAATAATGGTACATATAAACCTGTTTGAACCAAGCAGTGTACTCAATTTTAACAACAGTGTACAGCTCAATATAGCAACCTTCACTGCCTGAAAATTAGGCACATATTTTTAAATACTGGTACCTTCTTTTGAAAAGGTTGGCTTGGGGTGAGGATTAGGGGGGTGGGTACAAAATAAACTCTTTCCTAATTTAGAATGCCTACATGCACTCTCCCTTCTAACTGCCATATTTGAGCTCTATGAGCCCCTTTGCATTTATGTAACATGTTCATATCTATTCTTAACCCTTTGAGTGCCAGTTATTTTTCAGCTCAAAATTTAGTAAAAAAATTCTAAATTACTAAATTTCATCATCATTTTGGACCATAGGTTCAGATATTGCTTTTAGTTATTTTAAAGAGAAGCAAAATAATTTTGTAGATGATGCCAAAACTACAATGGCGCTGAAACGGTTTAACAGCTGGCATTACATGCATTACATAATATTTATACCAGTTCTGATACCTCCCTTCCAAGGAGGCTCAAACTCCACCATATTTACAATGTATGTTCCTTATGCTATCGTCAATATGTTATTTAAGTTATGCCGGCATAAAGGGACACGAAAAGCAGTGAACATGTTAAGAAAGATTTGGTTTGTTATATGGGCCATTCATATAATTTCTATACTGTAGAATACTTTATTTTCGCTTGGAATTTATTTTCGCTATTTTCGCTGAAGGGATGATTCCGTGAAAATAAAATCCAGTGAATGTACTTTTTTTCCTAAATTTCACATTAAACTCATCAAAAATCAGTAAAAATAAATTCCATACAAAACAACCAAAAAGCCTTTTCAGTGAAAATTAAATCCAGCGAAAATAAAGTATTTCACAGTAATTGGTACTAGAATGTATGTGCATTCATTTGGGCACAGCAAATATTCCCCAACTTGTTGATTGTTTAATATATTTTAAACACTGTGGAATTTAGAATTTCTTCCATAAGTCACCCATCTTTGCCTGTTGTACATAGTACATTGTTTATGGGGGTGAGATACTTGTTGGAATATCTTGACCAGCATGGTACTGTTGTCATCATTGACATCTCCAATGCTTATGTTATGTCTGACTGTCATTGACCCTGGGTTGCATATAAAGTACCAGACCATGTATGGAAGTGCTATAAATACAAGAGGCAGCACAGGGTGGAATTTTTAATCAAACTGGGTTAACTATTTCTATAATAATAATAAAGTTTTATTACACCATAATGAATTCACCATTAATTTTCAGCTGAAAGTAATAAAAGAAAGGTAAAAAAACAGAACGTTAAAATACGATCAGGCAGTAAAAATGAATGCAGTTAAGTTTGTGTTTTTCAAAACACACTTCATATACCGTATCACATATCTAATTAGTTTAGGATGTTAGTATTAATAATGATAATGAACTTATTGATATTGTTTTCAGTCTGGAAAGTGGGGATTTCTTTGGTAAATTCTTCATACATAGTACCGGTATACCTTTCATCAGTGTAATAGCTACAGACTGTAATGAAATGAACTTCATCTTCAATACGATCACTCCTACACTTATCACAAATTCTGTTCTCTATAGGGATTTAAGTCTTTAATGTCTGCCTGCTTTTATTTGGAGTTTGTGAGAACTAAGTCTCAACTGAGACAATAATTTAATATCTTGTCTATAATTTAGCAGTTGTAGGTATTTAGCTGGACTAATATCACTTTTAAGTAGACTGTAAGATCTGAGTTTGGCATCTGGTCTCTTGATATTATTAATTCACGTGTTAGTATAATGGTTTTTAGTTTTCTGATAGAGTATATTGCTAGAAATAGTCGAAGATCAATATTGTACAGGTGTTTAATTTTGTTATGATACTGACTATGTGTCAGCATCACTACAATACCAATGCCAAAAATATAGTAACTTGAAAATACTGTAAAATGACTAATTTTCACTGGGTTTAAATTACACTGATTTACCATTTCAGGCATATTCAGTGGGTTTTAAATTCATGGTTTCGTCATTTAGATAATGTGTTCTATGCTAAATTTTACATATTCACTGTGTTTTAATTTAGCGCATTTTTCCAGTCAGCGAAATAAGCTAAATTAAAACCCAGTGAATAATTACCCCCTTTACAGTACTGTTTTGTAAGTGCACTAAGCGTCTATCAAAGTCAGGTGCCTTACAACAAAAGAGGAATCTGACATTAATTTTATCATTTAAGTAGAGCATAAAACTGTTTCACATGGCTAAAGATATAAAATTGTACACCTTTTACATTTTCTGTATGTTTGAAATATAATTAAATACAAATTTTGCTTATAAATGAGTTACTTTTCATCTTCATCTGCATAAAACTTACCAGAAGTTATTAAATCAATGACAAGGCTGAAATGTTGATGTGGACATGGATGGATACTTATTAAGTTCACTCTGAATGTTGTGGTTAGTTAGCAGGTATGGTACAAGTGTTTGTTTAACCTTTGACCTTAAATGTGAACTTGTAAAGCATATTTTGTCTTTGCTTTCAACCTTATTTTATTTATTCAGTAACATGCAAAGGGCATGATGGACAAATAAAAGAAAAAAAGGTATGGCAAGAGAAGATTGAGGATGAAAAACAGTACATTTAGAATGTGACTATAATAATAATAATAATAATAATAATTGTTTATTGCATCTTTAGAAATATACATTCCTTTCAGTAAATAGCAATAGAAATTATATTAATCAATATGTCCACATCAACATTTCAGTCTTGTCATTGATTTAATAATATTTGATTTATCAGTAAAATAAAATGAAATGTGACTGTACAAAAGCAATGAAATCAGACTTGCATTTAGGAAAGGAAACATATTATATTGGACAGCTAAAGCCCATGCAAAGAAATACTGTAAAACAAAGAATACTGTAAAATACTTTATTTTAGCTAGAACTGAAAGGACTTTCAGGATGTTTTGTAGGGAATTTATTTTCACTGATTTTTGACAAGTTAAATGCAAAATGTAGGAAAAAGGTATATTCGCTGGATTTTATTTTCAC